TATAGAGCAGAGGACAGGCAAGGGCAGCAGCCAGAGCATACAAAACCAAAAAGCGGACCAACAATTCACCACAAAAATGTCAAAGTGTCACTCAGGAAGCTAATGAACTTTCAGATGTTAAGTGGTGGAACCAGCTGAATTTAATTGTAGTTTGCCTGCATGATCGATTCGCTGTGATGTAAAAGCATTTAGGTTTCACAATATCAGCTGCCCAGTTGTCCTTGAGCTGAACCCCTGGCTTGTGGCCGCAGGCATTCGAAAAGGTATTAAAAGATGAAACAAGGCACGACAAGAACTAGTCCTACATCATCTGAAGTAAGATATTAAACTACTCAAGAAATACAGCTACATGCTTTCAGCTGAAGTTTTCTTGGACAATACTCCCAACTACAGGGCATGACAGGCTGTTGAGATTAGTTTTTTATAGGAAGTTGTGCATTGGAAAGAGTGTTCAAATGAAAAAATCTGAAGAGAAAAAATGAGTGGGATAGAGTAACTCAATATAGTGCAGTAATCCTCAAAGTGCAGCTCAAACAAGTCAGTTCTGTTCCAGCCCACGTTATACAGCAGTTAAATGAAATATATTGGTTCAATGCAATATGGGTGTGTGGCTCCTTTAAGAGTACAGAAGAGCTGTGTCCAAATTCAGGATCTGCTTTCTGTGAAGGCCGAATTTGAAGGATGCATTATTAAAAAGAGGACGCAATTGTGGGCCACATCGGAGGAGTTTTAGAATTTGGACAGCCTCCAGCAAGGCTCAGGACAAGGAAGAGAAGAAAACACCAGGCTTTAACTAGAGAGGCATTGGGGCATTGATTTGATGCCCTTTTGGATTTTGTGATGCCCTCTTTAAGTTTTGCGATGCCCATGTTTATGTAATGACTACCTTAAGACATCGTGTCGATATTTAGGTTTGCTGAGATGAAGTAGACATTTCTCTGGATGAAGCACAGCTTTCACTCTCAAACACAACAGATAGGACTACTAGTCAATCAGAGTTATGGTGAGGATGGGCCCTGGGTCTTGGCAAAACCTTGATCCATATTCAGCAGCAAATTGTGGAATGATTGTTTTTAATTACTTGTTTACTCTATGAAAAAAATAAATTGTATATTCTAAAGCCATCAGTTAAGAAACCAAACTCTTCTGATCATACTGAAAACTGGTAATATCTTAATGTGAACGTCTCAGTTTATCCCAGCTTGAAGAGGCCTGTAACCTCCAGAAGCCTTCAGCAATTTATACAGGTGCTGGTCATAAAATTAGAATATCATGAAAAAGTAGATTTATTTCAGTAATTCCATT